ACCAGGAAGAAGCGTGTCCCGAATTTCACAGCCCACTGGAGGGGTGCGCCTCCCGCCCGGGTGGAATGCGGAGCAATCTCCCACGCGGTCTAGAGATGCTCACACAGGCAACATTGATCAGTCTCGCACGGCCATCACCACTGAAGCGGGATCATGGGGGTCAACGAGGAAGCTGGTAAATGTACAGAAAAACTAAGAAAAATTTGAGGCTCCAGCTAATTTAATAATAATACAACAACAACAACAACGTTGTGTTTGCTTAGCCCTTTATAGTTACAAAATACTTTCTCATTTTCACTCACTCTATATTCTCGTCAAACCCCATTTTACAGGTGAGAAAAACAAGATTCTGATCATCAGAATTTCATTTTGATCAAGAATCACCAGCTTAACTTTCAAAAAGGGAAATAAGAAAACAGAAACTGGATCTTTCTCCCTTTTTTTTTTTTTTCCCCAACAATGTGGTTTCAGAAAACGGTGTCAACTTACTGTAGTTAGCAGGAAGTTTCTCCCTCGACCTCCCAGAGTGTCCTAAGTTCACGTTACGCTCTTGACCCCCAAAGCATTTTCCCTGGACAAGAATGTCCAGATCTAGAGTGCACCCCCAGGCCCTGAGGTGTCTGGCCTCAACTTGCACCACAGTTATTTTCTTTTATTTGTTGATTTGCAAGAGAGAAGAAGGGCGGGAGAGAGAAACATCGATCTGTTGTTCCTCTTTTTTACGCATCACTGGTTGACTCTTGGATCCTGACCGGGGATCAAACCTGCAACCTTGGCGTATCGGGATGGTGCTCTATTGAACTACGTGGCCAGGGCTGTACCAAAATTATTAAAAGCCAATTTTTGGTAATGTTTTCCAGGTAAAATCAGAAAAGCGAAATAGAATCCAAAGACACGACAAGGTCCTTAAGCAGTTCAATTCCGGGGGAACTTCTTCAAATTGGGACACTTTCCCCTCCTGCTCCCAAGTGGCATCCTTGATCCCAAGCATCACTGGAACTGGGTGTGTTGGTCCCTGACACGCATTCCAAGCCTCCCATCACTTCCTTTTGTATTTGAAGATGTGAGTTACAGGGTCATAAACTAATAATGTTTGTCTAGCCGCGCCCTGGTTTAGTGTAACTTGCCTCTAGCCCTCGTGTTGGGATCGGTTTGTTTTTCTCACTCGGACGATGATTTTCCCTTGGCCTGTACGACTCCAAGGGCCCGTGTTCTCCTGGGCGCTCCTGCAGGCCTCCCCGAACGTGGAAACATGCTTTCCCACCAGGGGAGTTCCACCTCATCGACGATGGTTCTGTTTCCTCAGAGAGATGAGTCAGTCTTCATTCTCTCCCATAGAAACTCTCCCCCTGATTCTTGGCCACGGTAGTTGAGCAAAAGGGGAACTTTGTCTCAGGCCTGCTCATCAACTCCCGTCTCTTTCATTCCGCCACGTTCGTCCATCTCATAAAGTCATAAAGAAATGTACTTCCGCTCCGGGAAAGGGGTCCCCCGACGGTGCCCCTGCTGGCCTCATCCGTGGGAAGCCAGCGACGCCCCCACAGTTCCTCCGTCACTGGCTGTCCCTTGACTCCCCCGAGAGCAATTATCTTCGCAGTGCCCAGTGCAGTCGGTATCGCAGGGAGGGTGCGGAGGTTTTCATCTGGTTTCAGACGCAGAGTCAAGAGTAGCCCAGCAGAGGTTCCTACTTACGGGGTCGCGAGTGGGAACATCCCTTCGGATGGCAGTCAGAAGGTCATGCCGGACGTCTGTCGGGATGGAGAGAGACGTCCAGGGGCGATTCCCGGGAGACCTTCCTCTCGAGCGTGGTGAAGGCGCGTGGCTTGAGCCCAGGCTGGTGCCGGGAGCCCACAAGGAGGGTTTGCCCTGACGGCAGCATCGCTCTGACGCCAGCTGGAGTCCTGGCCCCCGGGTGAGGTGACGGCTGCCATCAGAAACAGGCAGCATGTGACAGGCCAGCGCCCAGAAGGGCACGGGCTGTGGGGTCTCCGGGTGGCTGGGACATAGGTGTCTTTGGGGGAGGGGCCAAATGCATAGGAAACAGGGTGGCGCGGCAGGGACAGTTCACCCAGAGCTTCGCTCCCTGTCCTGAGACGGGCACTTGACAAGCTGGGGAGTGTAGGCACCGTTTCCACCTTCCCGTGAAGCTTGGTGTCCTCAGCTGGAAAATGAGGACACAGACAGCCGTATTGGTGTGGCCCCTGATATCAAACAATAGAGATATTCACCTCCATGCCTGCGCGGTGGGTGCCCAACGAGTATCAGGTCCTAGTCCCCATGTTCTCCTTTAAGCACAGCAGGGCCAGATGGTGGCGGATCTACAGATGAGGCCGGGGAGCGTGGGCTCTGTGACGCAGCAAGGGAGCTTACTCCGAAGGCCCGGCACCTGCCTGGGCGCACACGTCGGTGAGTGTGCCTCTGTGTGGGCAGAACAGGGAAGGCAGCCCGGGGGGCGTCTCCTGGGGGTCGTCCAGACGAGAGCCCCTGAACAGCTGAGCTTTGGCGCAGTAGTGAGGATGCGGGAAAAGAACCCAGGTCCAAAGATACTATGGAGACAGACAGGCAATTCCCCGAGCATCCAGGGCGACGGAGAGAGGGGGCCGTCCTGTGAATGGCGCCCCCTGGAGTTGTGCGGCAGGAGGCCCGGAGGAACCGGGATTGTGCCCGAAGGTGGATGACTCGGTGGATAATGACCCCGTAACCGGTGTAGGCCAGGGAGGAGGGGAGGCACGCTGTTTGACCAGGAAGAGGCCGGATTCACTTGCGCAAATGCCGAGTGAAATGGACATGCAGAAAGAACTCCGGTCCACGGTCTTGTCCGGAACCGCCAGCGTATCCCTTGTGGTTTAACGACCCGAGGACCAGGTGCAGACCCGGGGACTCTGATGAAGCACAGGCCGTGCCAGGGCAGCCAGTGTGGGGGAGCGAGAAGGAAGGGTCCGGGCAGGGATTCCTGCCACGAATCTCAGTGGAGACCGACATTTGACTAAGTGGGTTGGATCCAATGCAGATGATAGGACAGGTGAGAAATGAGGCGTGAAGGGACCACCGGGTCCATCAGAGTCGAGCTTGTGGGGGGATAATAAGCAGCTGGGAGCCTCTGGCGGTGCTCAGGAAGCTGGGCTGTGGCGTAGGGGCCCAAACACCCTTCGAGACTGGTCCGCCAAGCTCAGCTCGGCCCTCCTGCAGCTCATCAACCCTTTCCTTTCACGGTCTCCTGTCTCTCTGTCTCCCGACGGCCAGTTCATATCTTCCCCAGTTAGCCCAGTCGCTGGGCCTCACCCGTGCCCTCTCGCTCTCTGTGGGTGTCCATCTCACACTCCCCAAGGGAAATGAGAAACCCCCTTATTTCACTCCCCCTTGCCTGGGTGCGTGGAGTGTAGGAAAATGAGCACATGTCATCAAAGCAGTGATGGGGGAGACAGTATCCTGGAGAGACACGCGTCTCAATAAGCCCCCAAACGAAGGGAGCTAATCACCAAGAGGATGACGGGAATGGAAATGCGTTCATTACCACGGGAAGGAACCCGGGGACTACACGGACGGAGGTGGGAGGGGAGGCAGGCGTGAGCAAATGATCTTAGGGGCCGCTGGCCAGGGAACGTGAGTGTCAGGGTGCTGGGGGGACACAGAGAGACCTCTACATGTCTCTCCAGGATCAGACAAGAAGCTCTAGGAAAAAGCATAGGGTGCGCATGTGTGTGCATGTGGTGTGTGTGCACATGCGTGTGTGTGTGCATGTGTGTAAGAGAAACACGGAGCCCCACATGCTCAGCGATGATGCTCGGAGTGGTGGCCTGGAGGAGACTTCACAAGCACACCTGTGCTTTGTGAGGCCTGGGCTTGTACAACTCCAGGGCCTCCTTTTAAAAAGGAAAGGATACAAATCTGTGAGTGCAAATTAGGTACCAGAGTAAATCCTTGTGTAAGGGAATCCAAACTTCACTAGTTCCTCTGTAAATCCATCTCGACATGATTTTTATAGTTTTCTTTGTGCTTAGTGTAACTTTTCCACAACGAGCATGGATTACTTTATTTTTTATTTATTTCTTAATCCTCACCCGAGGACATTTTTCCATTTTTTGTTCAGATAGAGTGGGAGGGAGAGAGAGAAAGAAACATCGATGTGAAAGGGACACATCAAGTGGCTGCCACCCGCACGACCCAACCAGGGCCGGGGACAAAATGCAACCGAGGTACGTACCCTTAGGGGGAACCGAACCCGGGTCTCTCTGGACCACAGGCCGACGCTCCAACCGCTGAGCCAAACCGGCCAGGGCAGTATGGATAACTTTAGAAGTAGGAACTAAAACAGGAGTTAGGCAACATTGTTTCATGTCAGCTCTCAGGCTTACTTACGTTAGACGTTTTGGAGACCGGCAGCACAGACTGCCCCAGTCGGAAGGCAGCCGGCTTAGAATGCTGGTCATTTACGATGCATTTCTCCAGGGCCGCCCACAGAACTCCCCGCTCGGGCTCAGCCCAGGCTTATTTGCTCACGTAAAGCGCCACAGACAAGTACCCTGAAACGAGGAAGCTGACAAACAGCCTCATCTCTTCTCCAAAACTGGACCTGCATTCTCTGATATCCATAGCCCGGTGTGAACAGGTTGACACACACTGGGTTCTTGCCCTGGCCAGTTCGGCTCAGCGGACCAGAGAATTGGCCTGTGGACCAGAGAGTCCCGCGTTCGGTTCCCGCTAGGGTCACGTACTATACATTAGGTTATTTCCTCCCCAACAGGGGTTGCGGCTGCATTAAACATTCCTTCTAATTGCAGGAGCTGCTCCGAGCTTTCCTGGGGTCCCAGGTGCCCGGGGTCCCCGTTAACCTGGAGAGTGCTTCTGCTGAAGAGTTGTAACACAGCTTTGTCCTCTCGGCTGGCAAGGAAGTACCTTTGCTACAAGAGATTTGGGGACTATCCCCATCCTTCTGCTTGGTGCAACACGGCTGAGCGGCAGGTGTCCGGAGACAAAGTAGGAGGAAGGCGTCCACTTACCGTGAGAGAGCAGGAGCTCCTGCAGCTCGGCGTGGGCCCTGCGGGGGCGGCGTTGGGACCCTGAGACGCACTCCTCCCGATCAGGTCGCGGATTTCATGGTCCAGCTCCCGGCTCTCACACCTGCCAGGGGGACAGGCAAGGTCACATTTCACAAGGGTGATCAGAACTTTCCCGTGAGCGTGTGAGGGACCTGGGGGTGTGACTGTGGGCGGCCCCCTTAGAATCCTGGTCTCTGATCTCACTGTTGTTCTGAGTCCAGGCCCTCAGAGCACTTTAAGGGATAGAGGGGTCTGACTTCCACTTCTTGCACATTTATGCAGAGTGCTAAAGCGAGACACAGGTACGTGTAGGGGTTTTCAGTCTGACAGCAGCGACCGGAGCTGAGCACGCGCAGCAAGCCGGTGCTTCACACGTGTTCTTACCCAGGGGGCACCGCAGCGCAGGGAGTGTGCAGGAGTGCGCGGAGGAGGCGCACCGTCTTGCTAATGAATGAGAACGTCAGAGTGGGACACTGTGGTGGGCCCCAGGGCAGGTCCCTGAACTTTCATGAACCCCAATGGCCTGGTTCATAAAAAGAGAAAAAGAATGATCTGTTGTGGGCCGTGGGTAGGATTCGTGGTAACGTGTGTCCATTGCTTAGCACAGGGCCTGGCAGGCCATGCTCGGCACCCACTGGCATGACCCTGACCGTCTTCTGACCATCCGCCATGGTCACCAAGCATTCTAACGACCCAGTCTGGAAATGGGAACCCTTCATTTGGGGATATATTGCTGAAAACAAAAGAAACTCAAAAAGCACAAAAACATTTCAGTTTCATTCGAAAGAGAATCAAAAAGAAGTGATCACATCTTGGGTGAAAGACAGCCGGGCCATCTACTTGGGTTTTACAACTTTCTTAGCAGGTCTTTGAAATCATTCTTTGGTATAAGAATTTAGTGGATGAAACTATTTTTACATTCTTTTTTTAGCTAGTGAAATTCATCATATTTCATGAATGTCCACTGGTCTTAGACCTTCTTTTGCAAAAGAAAATGTTTACCAAGGTTCCTTTCTTTTCTATGAAACTCAAAGTTCTGACAGTGGAAAGGAAATTAAAGCTGGCAAGTTCTGCCTTTTCTTTTAGATTATTAAATAGTGGCATGCAATATAATTATATATATATTTTTAATATATATTTTTTTAATTTTAGAGAGAGAGGAAGGGAGAGGCAGAAAGATCGATGAAAGAGAACATTGATTGGCTGCCTTCTTCATGCCCCCCACTGGGGATCGAGCCCGAGACCCGGGCATGTGCCCGAACAGGGAATCAAACTAGCAACCTCCTAGAGCATGGGATGATGCTCAACCAACTGAGCCACACTGGCCGAGCATATAGTTATGAGCCAAGTTTTGGAGCCGAGGTAAAAAGAAAAGAAGAACACACTACAGAACTTGGGACCACAAGGAGAACAAATTCTACGTGACTGGTATTGGTTTTGCCGGGTGCAGATTACCCAGCCTTGTGACCAGCTCCCTGAGCCACTCAGCTGATCAGCTGAGGGCTATGGCTCCAGGGGCGAAGTTCTGGGCCCCCTCCTTCGTCCTCCTTACTTAGCAGGTGAGACCCTGGAGCCTTGGTGAGGTTAAGTACCTTTTCGTCAGGTCACTTGGCTTGTGAGGCGCGGGGTTAGGATGTACTTTGAGGCCAGGGACTCTGCGCCCTGCCGCCGGGCCGCCAGTGATTTTAGGAACGGTCCATACGGCGGGTCCAGAGAGGCTGTGTTACCCAAATAGCTGGGCTCAGGCTTTCCATTTTGATGGACATTTCTGCCGGTGCCAACAACTGAAACGTAGCTGACTTGCAACGTCGGAGGATGGTTCAGGCTCTGGAGACAGGCCCTGAGCACCAGGGTCTCACCCCGCCCGGCTCCTGTGGCCCCCTCTTCTTCTACGTTATGAGTTTCTGACCAGGACCCGTGGATGGGACCAGGGATCCACAAGTCATTCCCAATCAAGTGAAATACAAGACAGTGTGGATGTTCTATGCCCCCTGGCTCTTTCTAAAGAAGGGGTGTCTAGTGTTTATCATGTTCTTGACCTCCCCAAAAAGCTAAAAGTCATGAACCCGACTTCAGGGATTGTCACGAGTGACCGCTTTAAAATCACATCTCATCGTGGCTTTCTCTAAGCGAACACTTAATTTTTTTTTTTTTTTACCATGAACTATGAAAATGTAGAAATGATGCTGTGGATCAAACCCTCTTACTAGAATCTTAAATGTTGGTGGTCTCTTTGCTCAGTTGCAAGTGACTGATAGAGAATTATAGAGGTGATATGTCTAGGCTAAGAGTTCTTAGAGATGAGGGCACAGGCTTGGTGAAGTCCCTGAATGCCCACTGGACCCTTGGCCGAGGTAGTGCTCACTCTAACTTACGTGGATAGAAATTTCCTCTGCTGCCGTTCCTCCTTCCTCCCTCCACTCACGAGAACAACTGAGCAGGGAAAGTCGGCAGGTATGCAGGAAGTCCATACGAACTACAATACGTTAGGCCAATGTGACAAACTTTGAAAAAAATAGTTCCCGCGTTACATGTGGTATGTGGCTGTTCCTCCCCGACCACCCCTGGGGGTGCATGGCCTGCCCGGGCACCCAGGACTGGAGAGAACCGGCAGAGGTGAGTGGGTGGCAGGAGTATCTGGGCCCTCAGACTTTTACTACGTATCCAGGAGTCTCCACAGCAGGACCCTCAACATATTATCCAATAAAGCCAAGGACACAGCAGGCCCTTGAATGCACGGTTTAATAGGCTCATCCAAGTATTATTTACATTTTAGTGTTTGATTAGAGCCTAGACATTGTTAATTTGTAGATGCCTCTCTAAAAAAAAATAAATAAATAAATAATAAATCTCACCGTGGCGAGTTTGGCTCAGCGGTTGGAGCATCAGCCTGTGGACCAGAGTGCCGGGTTCGGTTCCCGCTAGAGGCACGTACAAAAAAAAAAAAAAAAAACTTCAAAGGGTGCTGCTTCCTGCCTGGCAGGGCATCGTCCAGCTTTGTGTAGGCATCTACCCTGCCTTGAGCTCACCCTCCTTGATTGAATTGCGGCGAACACGTAGCTCGTCCAGTGCTCCCTGTCATCTTCCTGGCTGCCCACTCAGTGGTGAGTTGAATGAAAACGGTGGGTGTTTGTTCGTTTTATATTTGTATGCGTGTCACTTTTCTAACTTCTTGTGTCCCATACGTGAACCCCGCTGGACGTCTGTCCCGCAAGACCGTCGAACTGCTGGCTGCAAGGAGGGACTCACGGTGGGAACGCCGCCCTGCCTACCGGGCGCGGGGTTCCCGGCACCCGCCACGGCGCCTCCTCGGCACACGGCACACGAGCCTGAAGAAGCCATGACGCTCACAAGGCAGCGCAATGCAACCACAGCCTTGGAAATGACTGACGATGACTTCATGCGTCTCCGGCATTTAGAAGACAGAGGAACGAGGCCCAGGGGCCAGGGCGAGAATTTAGGGCGCTGGTGGTGTTCCTTCCTTCACGCCCTCGCCCACCTCACATGTCCATGCTTCCTGCCCGCCCGCGGCCGAGCTCACATCCTCGGCTTTGATCTGATGTCCTCCGCCAAGTCTTTGTAGGGAAGAGTCTGGAGAACAAAGCGCATTGTCAACTGTAAGACGAGGAAGAATCAATAGCAGGCTCCTCCGGGACGGAAATGTTTCCAGATGTTCAGAGACCAGGAACTGTAACCTTTGTGGACCTCGAAATGGGGGCGTTGTCCAACAGATGACAAGTGGTGATTTTGAGGGGCCTTTTTTGTCATTATGATCAGTTCTCGGAGTGTGCTACTGGCTATTCTGGGTAAAATAAATGGCTCGGTAGGGAAATGACTCCGTGTATCTGTGTTTTAGGTGAATAAGCTGTGATGTCTTAATTAATTTAGTTCATGGGAGCTTTGACCGCTGTGGCTTTGGAATGAAGTAGGAGAGAAAAGGCTGGCTCAGAGACCTTTGGGCAGGAAGGCGTATTTCCAGAGTTTAACCCGAGCCCCCGTGGTCGAACACTATAAATAAGTGTCTGCGTTCCTCTTGTCTGAAACCCTAGCCCAGAGGAGGGGGGCCTGTCCTTGCCCTCGATCTGCATTCTGGGCTGGGCCCCGGTTCATTTACCCTCTGCTCTGTGACGGGTTGGTCACTGATGCCACATGCTTCAGCCAGGCCTCTGTGGCTGTGCCCAGGAGGGACCTTCCGGAGTGGAGCCAAGGGGCAGCCACAGGTGCTGTCAGGCCTCGAAGTTTCTGTAGAAACCGCCTCCTCCCGCAGCTGCCCCCCGAGCCAGCTCAGCCTCCGCATTGGACGGCTCCACGCAGGTGCAGCGCTCTCGTCCCCAAGGGCAGAGGGACCAGCGGACAGAAGCTATTCTGAGGCATGTACACCTTTTGCCCAGCTGTGTGTGAGTCATCCTACAGTCCTCTCCGGAACCCTGGGAGGGACCCGAACCCTGGAGTGCACGGACATCCCCACTATACACACCCACCGCCACCTGCGTCCCCGTTGGCAGCTCGTCACACTTCACTGTGACTGCGTGCTCTGTCCCAGGGCCGCCGTCGGTCACCGACCCCGGAGGCTCCCCCCCTCTCCGGAGCCTCGGGAGACAGATTCTGGACAAGAGAACAGACCGTCGAGAACAAGCTGCCCTGGAGTCAGCCGGACAGAGACCACGCGGCAGCAGGAGTGGCTCCTGCCCCCTTCAGAGGGATCTCTCGTGGGACCCGTGATATTTCTTCCTCCCCCCACCCAGCTCTTTGTGTGGAGAGAAATGACACCCTGTCAGATGGGCAGACTGAGCCTGGACGGTCATGGGTGAGTTTCTCCTGGAGCAGGGACCTGGCGAAGACCCACGAAGACGTGGTGACCATGGCCACCATCCCTCCCGCACACTGCAGAGTGGAAAGTGACCCCAGTGCGCCTGACGGCACGGGGCGAGCAGGGCTGGGCAGCTTTACGGGCTGAGCGGGTGTTTCTGTTGTTTTCATACGGCGGTCTATCGTCAAGATTGTTTCTGGTGCATTTACAATGTCATTCTCTTGAAGAGGATGATTAAAAGGCTGAGGCCACAAGAGTGTGGTTCCTAACCAGCCTTGTGAACAACTAAGCCTTTTTTTTTTTTTTGCTTTTAAAGATTTTTATTTTATTTTTTCTTTATTGATTTTAGAGAGAGGAAGGGAGAGAAAGAGAGAGAGCTACAAAGATCGATGAGAGAGAATATCGATTGGCCGCCTCCTGCATGCCCCCCACTGAGGATCGGACCCACAACCTGGGCATGTGCCCTGGACCGGGAATCGAACCAGCGACCTCTTGGTGCAGGGTCAATACTCAATCACCGAGCCACACTGGCCGGGCACAACTAAGCCTGTAAGTCAAGTAAAGCCCGGCACTTCATTGAACGCTCGCATCGCTGGATTCATACTTTCGTACCCTTGCTCCGCCGTGTAAATCTACTCTTCCTGATCGTCAATGTCCGGAGGAGAACGAAGTTGCACTAGCTATGCCAGCACAGAAATCATCCATTTCACTGCCACTGTTGAAGGGGTGTGGACAGAATACCCTCCCCAATATCAGCCGCTTCCCGGGGAGAATTATTCCGAGCTAAAGGCACTTGGAAAAGAGCAGACACAGAAAAGGGTTCTGACCCTCCCACTCCCGAAAGCCAAGAGAAGGCTTTCCCGTGGGGATGCCCTGCCCCCCGCACGGACTTCCCACCGCCCCGCCCAGACGGGAAGGCCCAGAGAATTCTGCACAAGCGAGCTCCTCCCAGTAACCCTCACGCCCCTCCACCTGGCCGTACGGGGCACCTCTGCACAGAAGCTCTCTGTTCAACCTCACGGAAAAGCATCTAGGTGTGGGGAGGCCTTCATTTCCACGGGAAGGCTCCCATGTCACGGAAAACCTAAACGTGTGTGCTTTTCTCTTGTGAGCCCAGCCAAGACCCAAGGTGGGTAGAGGAAAGGACTTTTTTGTTTCTTTGTTTGGTCACTACATGGGATTTATTCCTCAAAAAAGAGAGGGTTGCAGTTTGGTGCAGACACGGTGAGTCGTGGGCATACTGCTGGGGAGAGAATTTTTCTCCCTACAGTGTTCTTGGAAATGAGCATTTCAGCAGGAACAACAATTAATGTATCTAATTTTCTTTAAATATGTTTTTATTGATTTTTTAGAGAGAGAGGAAGGGAGAGAGAGAGAAACATTGATGTGAGAGACAAACATCGATCGGCTGCCTCCTGCACGCCCCCCACTGGGGTTCGAGCCCACAACCTGGGCATGTGCCCTGACCAGCAATTGAACCGGGGCCTCTCAGTCCATGGGATGGCACTCAATCCACTGAACCATACTGGTCGGGCACAATTAATGTAGTTTACAGTTGTGTCTATATTGAAGCGAGGAGATAGACTAGGTCTGGAACCACATTCTTGTGGCAACTATGGCTAAATGAGTAATCCTATGTGTTTAGTGAGAACTGTTTCTGTTTTTTTTTCCTTTATTGATACTAGAGAGAGAGGAAGGAAGAGGGAGAGAGAGAGAGAAAGATTGCTGAGGGAGAACATCAATTGGCTGCCTCCTGCATGCCCCACACTGGGGATCAGGCCCACAACCTGGACATGTGCCCTGACCGGGAATGGAATTGGCAACCTCTTGGTGCAAGGTCAACGCTCAACCACTGAGCCACACCAGCTGGACGAGAACCATTTCTGAAAATCTCGAGATGCTAATAGGTTCCTATGCATCTGGAAATGCTGCATTGTTGAATAATGCCTCTAGAGGGCACTGTGCAGTCAGTCCGGGTAGGAACCAGTTTCTGATGCTACATTCTGGGCTAATGTTTTCATTTAGAATTTTGAGTTCAAGACAGAGAGAGAGAGACAAATGTGTAGTGTACACATGTGTATTAATTGAGCTCATTTTTTGTTTTATTTACTTTAAGACTCTTAATAAAAATTATTAATAATTTTTTTTTTTTTTTTTTTAATCCTCACCCGAGGATATTTTTCCATTTTTTGTACAGATAGAGTGGGAGGGAGAGAGAGGAAGGGAGAGACAGTGAGAAACATCGACGTGAAGGGACATATCGGGTGGCTGCCACCCACACGACCAACCAGGGCCGGGGACAAACTGCAACCAAAGTACGTGCCCTTAGCGGGAACCGAACCCGGGTCTCTCCGGACTGCAGACCAACGCTCTAAACGCTGAGCCAAACTGGCCAGGGCTATTAATAATTTTTAATGCTGGTTAGGAACCAGGTTTCTTTTTTATTTTCTATTTTATTTGCCTTTTATAAAAATATGTTTTATTGATTTTTAGATAGAGAGGAAGGGAAAGGGAGAGAGAGACAGAAACATCTATGAGAGAGAGCATCAATTGGCTGCCTCCTACACACCCCCTACTGGGATCCAGACTGCAACCTGGGCGTGTGCCCTGACTGGGAACCGAACCAGTGGCCTCCTGGTTCATGGGATGACACTCAGTCCACTGAGCCACAGCGGTGGGGCATGGGAACCATGTTTTGGGTTTTTTTTTTACGTTGTAATTATTGTTCAACATTTATGTAATAGACTTACACCACATAGTTTTCTTTCTGTAGCAGTGAGTTGACCTTGTTAAACACTGCAATAATCCATATTTATTCTTCTTCTGCATGTGTGGTGTTTGTATGGATTTGAAGCCTAGAAAATCTTCTTGTGCCAGAAATTAGAAAGTACTCAAAGAACTTGTTAAATTGGGACAGTTTCAGGCATCAAAATAAGTAATTATAAAAATGTATTATACCTTGTTAAATAAAATAAAAATTCATTGCCCTGGCTGGTTTGGCTCAGTGGTTAGAGCATCGACCCATGGACCCAGGAGTCCTGGGTTCAATTCCAACCAAGGGAACGTACCTTGGTTGCAGTTTGTGCCTGGGGTCATAAGGGTGGCAACCAATCAATGTGTCCCTCTCACATCAATGTTTCACTCTCTCTCTTACCCTCCCTCCCACTCTATCTGAAGATAAATGGAAAAATATCTTTGGGTGAGGATTAAAGATAATAATTATAATAATAATAAAATAAGAATTCATTAATTTTACTTATAAAACATTTAAAAATAAACATAAATGGGGACAGGAGATATCTTTTGTTTACATTGGAATGCCTAATAAGTAGAGAAGAAATCATGGTGTTAAACATCACTATTTTACAGCCCTCATTGTAATAATTTAAATGAGAAATATCAATGAGTACTAAAACCAGTGGCTGAAATTTTAATGAGATGTTTACATAGTTTCAAAGATCTCCCTGCCCGAATCCTTACTGAATACTAAAGGAAATGCTACAGAATAACTTTGTACGGAGAATCTTGGGAGACAATACCTTAACCAAAGAATAAAATTGAAATCACTTGTAATGAGAAAACTCCACACTGACCAACTGATAGGATGCATTAGAAAAAAATAATAATAATAGCTTCGCATCTGTGGTATTCCTGCCAACAGCGCATCATCTGAATCTAACCGTGAGGACACATCAGACAAGCGCACACTGCGCGGCGTCCTACTGACCAGCAGGCCCCCCACTTTCTAACGGGTCGGGGCGCCACGTCAGCTGACAGGGGGCTGGCCCCGGTGAAAAGA